TTGGAGCTGTTTGGGCTGAGCCGGGGCTGTTTTGGAGCTGTTTGGGCTGAGCCGGGGCTGTTTTGGAGCTGCTTGGGCTGAGCCAGGGCTGTTATGGAGCTGTTTGGGCTAGCCGGGGCTGTTTTGGAGCTGTTTGGGCTGAGCCGGGGCTGTTTTGGAGCTGTTTGGGCGAGCCGGGGCTGTTTTGGAGCTGTTTGGGCTGGGCCGGGGCTGTTTTGGAGCTGTTTCATGCTCTCTTTTTTTTTCTTATTATTATTTACTTTTATGCGTGAGAGAATTAACAGTTTAACCACATATATTCACATTGGTGGAGAATTTAGCAGTTTAATCACATGCAAAGCTTTTTGGTGATTACCGTTCACAGTTTATACTCATGCGGGTCAGGAGTTTTTTTTTTCTTCTTTTTTTTTGGATTTTTTTAAAGGAAAGGTACATGCAGGTACATCACGCATAATAGCGTTTCAAAAACTTCCCGTTCATAGGACCAACTACCAAACCATCTTCGGCTACCACCTTGTAGGCGCCATTGGTATAGACATAGCTCACAACATATGGACCATCCCACTTTGACATGAACTTATTCCCAACACGATGTGTCATCACAATCAGTCTTCTCACAGCAAGAACCAAATCACCCACTTGAAAGGAGCGCGATCGAACTTTCTTGTTAAAAGCCTTAGAAAGACGTGCTTGGTAACATTCCAGTCGTTGTTGAGGTTCCAGTCTTTTCTCATCGAGAGCCTCCAACTCCTCAAGGCGAAGGCGCGCATTTTCTTCTTCTGTCAATCCTTCTTGCAATGCTATCCTCAATGATGGAATTTGCTGCTCGAGGGGAACAACTGCTTCTACGCCATAGACAAGTGCATAAGGAGTGGCTTGAGTCGGCGTCCTAAAAGTGGTTCGGTATGCCCACAAGGCTTCTCCAACTCTCTCATGCCAATCTCGTTTCGATTTTGCAACTACCTTCTTCAACAAATTGCACAAGTTTTTATTGAAAGCTTCAGCAAGTCCATTAGCCGCAGCATTATACATAGAGGACTTTCGTTGCTTGAAACCATATTTTTCACAAAGCTTGTCAATATGGCTGTTTGAAAACGACTTTCCATTATCCGTTATTATATATCGAGGGATCCCATATCGATAGATAATATTAAGGCGGATGAAATCAGCGACATTTTTTTTCTTCACTTCTTTGAGAGGCACTGCTTCAGCCCACTTAGAGAAATAATCCGTTGCAGCCAAAATATATAGGTGACCACCAGAAGACTTTGTCATAGGTCCAACCACATCAAGACCCCACGCATCAAATGGCCATGAAGCAACAGTGGGATGTAACGGCTCGGGTGATTGGTGAATGAAGTTTGCATGAAATTGACATGGCTGACATCTTTGGGCCTAGTCCATACAATCTTTAACCATCGTCGGCCAATAGTACCCCATTCTCTTGATCTGAAAATGTAGCTTCGGGCCTGATTGATGAGCACCACAAATTCCAGAATGAGCTTCCTCCATAGCTTGAATCGCTTCATCATCTCCCAAACATCTCAAAAAGACTCCATCAAAGGATCGTGGATAGAGAGTTCCTTTGTAATAGATAAAGCGAGGTGCTCGCCGCCGCACATCAACTCTCTTTCGCAGATCGTCAGGTAACTTCTCATACTTCAAGTAGTCAACAAGAGGCTGACGCCAATCTTCCTTTTCAATCTCAAAAACTTCAACGACGTTGTTTTCATCTTTCTCATCATCTTCTTCATCATCAAAGATTGGTGGCACTACCAACTCCTACAGACAGGAACATGAGCCTTATCTTCAGGCAAGGTGAGCGACGAAGCAAGCTTTGCGAGTGCATCGGCTTGCTTGTTATCTTTTCTCGGTACATGATCAATGGTCACATCTCCAAGCCATCCTATAAGTCTCTTGGCGTAGTTAACATATGGAAGCAACTCAGGTTTCTTCACCTCGTACTCTCCAAGTAATTGATTAACCACAAGTTTAGAGTCTCCATATGCATTCAAACGCAATTGCTTCATATCAACTGCCATCTCTAACCCAAGTATAAGAGCTTGATACTCGGCGACATTATTTGAGCAATTTTCGATCAAAGTAAATGAGTAAGTAAAACTTCTTCATGACATGTCACAAATACGACTCTAGCATCGACCCCTTCTCGATGGGCTGCTCCATCAAAATACATCTTCCATGGCGGAGTTACTTCAACGACCATCACATCTTCATCGGGTAACTCATCAGAAAGTTCCCATTCAGCAGGGATTGTGTGATCAGCCAAGAAGTCCGCTAATATTTGACCTTTTACAGCCTTTTGAGGGACATAGATGATCTCAAATTGCTGCAATTGAAGGTACCACCTTGCAAGTTTATCTGAAAGTACCGGCCTCCTCATAACATACTTAAGCGGGTTGGCTTTTCAGACGAGACGAACTGTATGAGCTTGAAAGTAATGCTTTAACTTTTGTATTGCAAAGATTAACGCAAGACATATCTTCTCGATGGATGAGTAGTTCAATTCGTTTGGTGTCATCATTCTACTAAGGTAATATAAAGCACTTTCTTTTCCATCATCGTTCTCTTGAGCCAAAAAGCCCCAACGGAACGTTCTTGAGCGGCTATGTAAAGAATCAACGGACGATCGGGCACAGGGGCAACCAGCACGGGAGGCTTCATCAAGTACGCCTTTATGCTTTCAAAAGCATTCTTGCAAGACTTATCCCTTTCAAATGGAACACCTTTCTTCATAAGACTGCTGAACGGTTGACAACGGCTGGCTAAATTCGATATGAATCTTCAAAGGTACGCCAATTTTCCTTGTAAGCTTTTGAGTTCATGAATATCACGAGGTTCAGAGATTCTCAATATAGAATCAATCTTCACTTGCTCGATATCTATCCCATGATGACGGACAATGAACCCAAGAAATTTTCCAGACTTGACGCCAAACGCACACTTGAGTGGATTCATCTTGAGTTGATACCTCTTTAACCGTTCGAAAACCCTTTTCAAATCTTCAAGATGATCTTCTCGCTTTCTTGACTTCACAACCACATCATCAACATAACATTCAATGCTTTTGTGAAGCATATCATAAAAAATCCTTTGCATGGCTCGTTGGTATGTAGCTCCAGCATTTTTCAACCCAAATGGCATCACCTTGTAGCAGTATATCCCTTTCCGCGTGCGGAATGCAGTCAATTCTTCATCTCTAGGCGACATGCGTATCTGGTTGTACCCGGATGACCCATCCATGAAAGATAACGCCTCGTGACCCGTAGTTGCATCAATCATGAGTTCAGTAATGGGCAATGGAAAATCGTCTTTTGGGCATGCTTCATTTAAATCTCGAAAGTCGACGCAAACTCTAACTTGACCATTCTTCTTTCTCACAGGAACAATGCTTGAGATCCATGTGGGATACTTGACTTCTCGAATGAACCCGACCTTGATGAGCTTGTTTACTTCAACTTCAATCAATGGAACCAAATCGGGCCGAAAGCATCGTTGAGCTTGCTTAACAGGTCGTGCCCCCTTTCTCACGGACAAATTGTGCACTGACACTTTCGGATCATACCCAGGCATTTCTTTGTATGACCAAGCGAACACATCTTTATATTCACGAAGCAGCTTGATATAAGCCTCCTCCTCATCACTAGTCAAAAGGGCGCTGATATAAGTTGGCCGAGGATTTTCCATGTCTCCTAAGTTGATCTCTTTTAGCTCATCAACCGTAGCCTCAACTCCTTCTTCAAGCTCAGCAGGGGCATCCTCAGCGTCTTCTTCATTTTCTTGGGTATCTTCACATATGGTGATATGGTTTACATATGCTACATCTTCAGCAGGGCTATCAAGACGCTTAAAATCAACGCATGTTCTAACTCGTCCGTTTCTTCTTACGACATGAGGCAAATGCAAAGTGGTATTGCTTTTATTAATGAACCCTTTGCTTACCAATGCAATGATTGTTCGACACAAGGAGCTTCCGATGTTTCAAGGATTTTCTCTTGGGGCAACAGTACTCACTTGATTAGTTGAAGCGACGCTTTCTCCATCACTTTCTTCTCACCCTTTACTCATGTGTGCACGATTGTTTGCATCTTCGCCTGTAAGACATTACCATATGAAACAATCAATGTCGTTTGTCTCTTCATTCGTGACGGTATCATGTTTAGAAGCTCGTGGAACTTTCTCTCTATCTTCCCGTATCTTACCATCCTTCGAATACCAAGTCTTTGATGACTAGTTCTTTTGGACTCTTGAATGGGTCCGAGCCTTTCAAATACCAATCTTCTTTCTCTATGCTTCAAATGATCAGTGGATGAAAATCCTTCTTCGGACACATGATTAGAATTAACTCGTTTTATGGGAATCCGAACTGGATTTGGTGCTGCAAATCCGAGACCAACTCTAGTTTTTCCACTCCAGAATCCCTCTTTCGAGTTTTTGCTGCTTGCGGAATAAGTGTTCCTAAAGTACTCACTTCTTTTGGATCGTATCCAGATTTGACAAGAAGTTTATATGCTTTTGGGTCGTAATACTTAGAGTCTTGAAGCTCCCCCCCGTGCTCCGTCTTAGCTCCTTCGAAGGGGCGGACAAACTTTCCCAGGGGTTGCGTGGTTGGTTTCTTGGCATCGAGACTAGATAAAGGCACCACCAGCCCATCAAGAGGATCATTCCCAGCAAGATTCCTGGCTTTCTTCTCTTTGGCTCCATTTGGTTGTTTGATGGGAACGTCTTTAGTGCCAACAACCTTAACCTCTTCAAAATAATACTTAGCATCAGCAAAATAAGACTCGGCTTGAGTAAAAGGCTTATCGTCTCCAAGAACCTTTCTTACTACACCATCTTGGCAGTATTTGAAACATTAATGCCAAGTAGAAGGCACCACTCTATACTCATGCAACCAAGGACGCCCTAATAACATGTTATAAGAGGTTTTGGCATCTATCACATGGAAAAGAGCATTTGAAGTCATCTCCCCAATTACTAACTTCAATATAATTATGCCTAGAGCTCGTTGCCCCCCTTGGTTAAAGCCTTGAATCATCAACCGACTATTTGAGAGTTCATCTGTCGGGACCTCCAGCTCTTTTAGAGTACGCAGAGACAAAATGTTCACAGTAGAACCTCCATCTATCAATATGCGATTCACCTTTTTCTCGCGAGTGTAACCAGTTACGAATAAAGGCCTATTATGGGGTTTTGAGCCCAACATCAGGTCTTCATCTGTAAAAGTGACTGCTGCATCATTGTCTTCAGGATCGCATCGTTCTTTGTCATCAGTCGACTCCTCATCATTTGGGACATCATCTTGTTCGCTCGTCACATTACAAGCGAAACTTTTATATCCTACCTCGCAGGTCACAATTGAAGCAAAGTTCGCAGTCCCTTTGTCTTCTTCAAGTATCTTGCCTTATCGTGCCAGCTGCATAACTCTATCTTTGAAGACAAAGCAATCTTCGATGGAGTGACTCACCAGACGATGATACTTGCAGTATTTTGGGTTGTCAACTTGTCCTGCTTCTTCAGGTCGTTTCATTTCTGGCAGTTCGATAAGTTGTTCCCGAATCAAGTCGTCAAAAATTACAGAAACATCAGAGTCAAGAAAAGGATATTGTTTGTGTAACACCCCACTTTGACTTTACAGAAATTTCAAATTTTCCAAAAACCAGAATAAAATTTTCAAAATCATTTTCGAAAACTTAGTGGGT